TTTCAGCTGGCAAAATGCGAGTTTTTGGAGGTTGGTGACTCGGTGACGGGTTTGTAAATCTAGGAAGGTGCCGGTTGTTTCTGGTTTACGAAATTACCCTTTTTCATTTTGTTTTTTTTAATAAACAATATTATAGGTGATTAATGATTTATTTATTATGGTCCTTTTTTGTTTTTGTTTTTATTTTTGGTGAATGAACCCTTATTAAACAAACAAATTCCAAGGGAACAACACTAACAAACCCATTACCAATACCAAACCCCAAATTGGGTAACTAAGCAACAAATAGAAAATTACATCACTAATAATGATCATTGCCATATTGTGGGCTTTACATGGTAGCTAGTCTCAATCACATAGTATCACGTTACACAACTCGTTCAAATAATTAATAGTATTTATATTTACATCCAAGGTTTTGAATTTGATTATACCATCTCTGGTATCGTTTATTTAAAAACTCAAAATTACAATAGATCAAACTAAGATATGCCAATTGCACAAATATTTGCAGGAGATGTTTGACATTCAAAGAAGTAGGTTTGTATGTAATGGTATGAATTATAAACTTGAGCACAGCAGCATTCCAGAGAGAGCAAAATTAGCAAAATTATAAGAGTTCATAAGAGGACAATATTATTTGGGGAAAAAAAAAAGAAAAAAGAGAGGACAATATTACTTAAAAGAAAAAAGATTTTCTATTGCATTTCAATTCAATAATTGAATGGCATTACAAGTCAAAACCCTAACCCAATTCTTTCACGGGGTAGGAAACTTTAGTTGGAACATTCCTGAATCATCACACTAACATAACCTAAATGCCTTATGACCCTTTTTAAGGGGAGCAACAGGGCAAAAAGAATGAAAGCAAAACAAAACAACTCTATGACCAAAATTTGAAATTAACATTTGGGAAGATCGGATGGTGGAGGAAGCAGCTTTTGATTGCGTCTCTTTCCATCCAAAACGACCCATGCCATCTTCAAGCCCCAGCTGGTGTGCACTTCTAGATGGCAATGCATGAACCAAACACCTATTGCATCACCGAGAAAAGATATCAGATTGCATAACCATAATTGACACCCAAAAAAGAGGTAATGAGAATAAGACTTTTAACAGCAAATATTCAACTTTTTATCAATCAGGTGACCAACTTAGTGATGTTTGTTAGAAAAAATAAACCATAGATTATGTTGTCAGACCGTGAATATATATATTATTAAATATATGTTTAGATTCATAGCCTAACAACATAACATGTGAGTTTATCGACACGAGAAAGTTACCTGGATTATCAGCAAGGAAGCGTATAGCAACCCACCCACCAGAGGGCACACCAACGGTGTTCCTCTCAGCAGGGTCAACAAGATTGTACTTTTTGGGGTCATTCTTAGGATCAAAGTTTCCAGAACCGAAGCCCACCACAAAGAAATTAAAGCCATGGAGGTGAAGTGGGTGGCTCTCTGCCCCAATGATGCTAGTGTCTTGCAGAACCAACTCCACACTAGTATTGAAAGGCAGCACCACCACCTTAGTGCCACTGCTCACAGCAATATTGCTTGGTGGAGTGCCTGTGTAATTGAATTTGAATGGTGGGTTGGCTGGGAAATCTGTGGTGTACACACCCCTTGATTGGTTGAAGAAGTGGGCTTGGAGAAGAGCTGTATTTGGTTGCACAAATGTCACATTGTTAATGGCTGCTACTACTCTAGTGTTGTTTGGGCCTTGGCATGTTTGGTTCTTTGAGCATGTGCTTACTCCCAGGCCAACAGTGAAGAAGAAGTTCTTGTTCACAGCTTTTGGGACATTTGCTGGGAATTTGGCATTGGCCAAGCTACGGATTTTCTTGTTGTAGTTCATGGAAAACAATGTGTCATTGAGCTTTGGAAGCACTGGTTTGAGAAGAGGGAGCTTTTTCTTGTTCTTGTTCTTGTTGGCTTTGACAGAAGATGTTTCATATTCTAGTAGGCCTGTGGTTGTTGAGTTGTCGAAAGCCGCCGGGCCGGTGACATAAGGCCTAGCTGCCATGACAAAGGGGGCCTTTGGGGACTTAGATTTGGTCTTCAGAAGAACATTTGTAGTCTGTCCTGGTGTGATGAGAACAATCTGGGTTTTAAAAGGCTTTATATAGACTGCATCAGCTTCAACCACAGTGAGTGTGTGATTGGCAATGCTGAAGAAGAGCTCATTATCGAGTGCAGCGTTGATCAACCGCAGCAGATAGGTCCTCCCTGGCTTCACCTTGAGCTTGTATGTATCTGCTTAAAATATTGCAGATTGTTTATCTTATAATCCAAAAAAAAATTCTTTAATTTTGAATTAGGTGATATTAATTAGTAAATACCTTTGGCTGAGCAGTTATACAAAGGCCCAGGAAGACCATTGATGGTGTAAGCATCAGAGACATTTGGTCCCGACCCTGTTTGCAAGGCTTGGCTGATGACTGCTTCTGTGTCTGCTTTCCACCATTCACCTGCAAATCAATAGAAGTTTCATGCTTAATACTATAATTAATGTCTTAATTGTTTGGATTTTGTAGCAATGATTATGATCTTGATCATTTACCAAAAATGATGGGAACTTCTTGGAAGGGTTGGGGGAATGGGTAAGGGACATGTCTTTTAGGGAGAATGACAATTGGTCCATAGACAGTTGCCCTAAGCCAGGAGATGTGTGCATGCCACCACAAGGTGCCTCTTTGGCCAGTAATGGTGAAGTTGTAGACATAACTCTGGCCTGTCTGAATTGGGCACTGAGTGATATATGCAGGCCCATCTGCCCATCCACTTCTCAATTGCCTGATCCCATGCCTGTAAATTCTCCAAATTTTAGTCAGGATTGATGTTCAATTCAAACTTCGAAAAAATCATGCAAAAAACCAAAGCTAAATCACAAGACAAGAATTGGGTACCAATGGAGGGTGAGGTTGTTCTGAACATGATTGACCACCTTGATCACAAGCCTGTCACCTTCCCTTGCTATGATCCGAGGCCCCGGAAACTGCCCGTTGACAGTCACAATGCTCTTTGTTTGACAAAGCCTTTTCACATTCTGTGACTTGATCTGTGCAAAGCAATAAAAAACCAGACAAAGGTCAATCCCTTAATTAACCAATCTGTTTCAATTTCACATTAAACACTGTACATGAAATGCAATACATACATTAAACTTGTAGTGCCGGGTAACCCTTGCATGCTTTGCAAGTGCTGGCTCAGGAAACACACATAAAAAAGCACAAACTGCAAAGAAGATAGCCATGGAAAAGGCTGGTGATGGGAGAAGGCTAGAACCCATCTCTCTGATCTCTCTGCTTAACCTTTTTCAAGTAAATATTATATCAAAGCTGTGACTTGGAGTTCAATGGATGAAGAAACATCAAATTAATGTGGCTTTTTATATGGCGAGGAAGCTGGCATTGTGCAGCAGGGTTTGTTAATTAGGTGATTGATTGAGATAAGTGAGAGTCCATTGCAGTTGCAGAAAACCTCTGCCTTCAGCAACAAACTACATGTTTGAAATTAAGCTAGAAGTTGCTGGTCATGTTTTACTTTAGAGTGCAGGTCAAGACAGATTATATTTATTATTTTTTTGAAAGTTAGCGATAAACAGATTATATTTATTAATTGTTCCTCTTAACGGTATCACTTGGTGTTCCTGGAATGCCCCTTGCAGATTACATTCTGAAATGAACAGTTTCTCGCTGGTTACATGGGTATTTATGTCAAATTACAATGAAAGCAATTGGTGTCGTTTCTTTCGTGGAAGATAAAATAGCGTTAATCTGAATCAAGAAAAGGGATTGATTTGAGAAAGGGGTTTTATGGGCATGGTTGCCTGGTAGCCTTCAACCTCCTACCGTTGATGATACTTGCTAATCAAGGAAAATGAAGGAAAGTCTTACACCATCTTTGCTAGCTGTCGTTTGTTAACCCTACTGTACAACCCTAACAACTTTGATGCTAATGGACTTTAAATTTGTATTATGCTTTTAGTCCTTTGGAGAAAATCCACATCTGATCTGATTTCCCACCAAGCCAACATTTGAAAAGCATCCATGGCAGATCAAATCACTGCCCCAGTTTGAGAATGTTTGTTGTTTTGATTTAAGGACTCTTTGGTGGTGCTACGTTTAGACAAAGAATGAAACATGTCATAGAGAGCGTTTTCAAAATAATTGGTGACCACCGACTAGTGATCGACTACTAAATGATCTAACACCGATAATTTTTAACTTAATCACATACATAGTCTAATACATGTGACGTTTTATCATAAAACTTCAGTGTTATTAGTAGTAGAACACTGGCATATTTTACCAAGTTTCTACTGTGATATTGTTCAATAGCTTGTTTTATGTTTCAGGAAAAAACTAAGTAGAGAATGCTATCAATAAAAAGCAATGTGACAATGTTGTGGACACATGAACAGACGGCCAAACTATCGAAGTAATGCTTATATGAGATGCTAACAAAGTAATGGTTGACCAAAAAAAAAAAACACAAAGTAATGGGCTCTAATTTGCAATAAAAATAAATAAATGGGCCTTGTAAATAACCTTTACCAAGTTGTAAAGGCTTTCCTCACCTAAAACAAACAAATTACGCACAAATTAGCACTCGGTTTAATGGTTTCTCTCTTCTTGCTATTGAGAGATGTCATCGTAAGTTTGAATCTCCTAAGTATGAAAAAAATTATCGATCGCACATGTTTTACATGAAGGACGACAGTGGTTGCATCGCCTTTAAAAAAGGTCAGATGGTAATGAACCAATCTTGGTCGAAAAACATAGGATGTTATAGGGCAGGGAAAGCAAAGCAAGTACTGTCGTCTTGGATGGTCGTTCACTTCGCATTAAAATGGCGACAAACTTTACACCACAAATTGATTCTTGTTACCAATATGGTCTCTCAAGTAATAACGTTTCTTCAAATATTTGATTTTTTTGGGTATTTTTTAAAAATATTTATTGTAATAACTTTTATATAAAATATAGTTACACATTGCAACAAAAAAAAAACACACACACACATCTATGATCTATTTAATCTACTCTCCTCGCCCAATCAAAATGGTCCGCACATCTGACGGTAGGCCAAAGAGGACGATGATATTGTCGACAGGACCACACCACTGTAAATACCATGGTCCTCAGCTACACACAGTAATCTAACCGTGCAATTAAAAGGCTCTGATGTGTGGGACCCAGACCATCAAGAGCGGGGAACTATACACTGAGACCGAATCTCTGACCCGCCAAATCACACTGCACCTGAGCCAAACCGATCCTAGAGTTTTGGAGATCAAATTCCATCCACACGTTTTGCTGATGGTGATGACCAATCACGTACGCCTCCACGCCCAAAAGGTCAGAGTTCCCAAATGTGAAGCAATGCAGCGTATCATTTCCCCTCACTTGACCCGGTACCCGATACAGCAACTGGCCACCCGATACCTTCATTTCGGCCCCCCGAAACATTAAGCTCACAGAAGGCAATGGCGGCAGTCTCGGTTGACCCGGCGGAACCCAGTAGCACAAATCCATGGCGCCTTGGAAAACAAAGTTTGGATCATCCAAAACGCTGAGAATCTTTGAGGTCTGGTTCAAGAACTCGTCTCTCAAAGCGGTGTAAACCGGGCCGAGAAGGAAAGTGAACTGAGTTCCCGAGTCAACCATGGTTTGACCCGCCCCGGTATGGTCCGGTACGAAAACCGATTTCGGTATCGGAAGCAATTTGTCCGAAACTTTGATGCCTTCAAGCTGGACAGTGTAAGCGACGCGGTCAAAGTACGGCAATGGGGTCGAGATTTGAACCAATGGGGTGTAATTTAACGGTGCGATCCAAGAGAAGTTAGAGTCTCCGAGCAATAACAGGCCCGAAAAATCGGAACCCGAAATGCAGTATGAAAATTTCGGAAATCCCATTTGGGAAACGAACGAGAGAGACCCGCGGTTCATACCCATTAACCCGGTGGTCTTCGCGTCTTCGTCCGTGTTGGAGCTGAAGGTTGTGTCCATGCACCCGAAAACCAAACCCGAAATTCCGGAGCTTCCGATATAAAACGTATCGGAGGCGAGATTTCCTTCGTTGGACGAGGCGTCAGCGTAGGAAAGAATGGCGTGGCAGAGCTGGTTGGAGTCGCAGGAAGCGGGTATGGTGAGGTCTTGGGTCCGGGTCGTACAGGTGGATGACGAGCACGGGACGGGCGAGTAGGAGGAGGACCGGGTCGGGTCGAAAGTGTTGTTAAAGTTTCGGGTTTTGTTGCAGTGAAGCCAAGAGAGCTCGCTTCCAGTGTCGATGACCATCGAAACGTTCTGTGGAGGCGTTCCCACTGTGATAGAGACTGTGAGGGTGACATTGTGATGAAAGGGAAGCCTGTTTGGGGACTTTGGGAGGGACCCAGATGGAATTTGTTGAGTTTTGAGGGGTAAAACAAGTGTTTGGGTTTGAGGGGAGCAGAGTTTCGGTTCAGTGAAGCAAATGAGGACAGTGACAGAGCAGAAGAAGATGAAAGATTGAAACTTTAGACATGGGTTTTGTAGACGGTTCCAGAAAATGCAGGCTTTCATGGTGATTTAATATAAAGGGAGCTTAAAATGGAATAGTTTAAGAGAGAGAGAGGCAAACTGTGGAAGATGGTGTTTTGGGTTAAGAGAGTGAAGGGTATGTATTAATGAGCAGAATGTGGTTGAATGTGGAGTGTTCTGTGTTTTGGGGACAGAGAGAGAAAAAAAAAAGTCTGAATATGATTCTTCTGATGCAGAACAAAACAAGCTTCACTTTCGCAGTTTTTTCTTGCTGCTTAAAAGATCTTGCTTGCTTGCACACATGGTGAGATCTATAAGGTAGACGAGGATCAAACGACAGTGTCCAACGATGTCGTTCGGTGTGGTTACGTACAATTACACTTACACCGGACCAAGTCACCAAACAGCCTTATTTTGTCAAGTTTGGTGCATGCCAGTCAAGCTTGCACACTTTTTTTTTTCTTCTCTTTTACATTGGTAGATCTTTATGTAGTTTCGAAGAAGCCTTCCATTTGTATAGCTCATTGGCTTCTGCAACAAAATTTTCTGTCCATTTGTCAGTGACTTCCTAAGGCTCTGTTTGATCAAAAAGGGTCTCATGATTCACATTTTTTACTGGAAGTTGACTTGACTATAGGTCCTTGTAGAGTGATTAAGAGCAATTACTCATACACTCGAAGTTCTGTGTTCGGTGACAGTTTCAGGATTCAAAAATCGGCTATGCAAAACTTACATACTAAACTCAATGGTACAAGTGACTTTCATTAATACACTTACAATATAATTTACTCCTAATTAAACCTTAAAATACTCTATTTAAAAAAATTCCAAATCAAAACCCTAGAATAATTCATCCCGAATCACCATTTCTTCATATCTCTGAGTTGTGTTGTGTGCTTCACCATAAGGTTTACTAGGTTTTAATTGTACATAGAGCAAGAATAATTGAATGATATCGATGATGGCATCCTCGTGCTAAAAGCATGGAGCTACCTTTTTCTTGTTGTTGGTTGGAACTTGGAGGACTCTTGAATTTTGAAGTTATTTTAAAGGGCTGCTGCACATGACTGAACTGATGGCTCTCCTCTCCTTTGGCCGGGGATAGGCTCTGTGAGGCTGTGAGTTGGACAGCTAGCACCTGACATCTGCCCTTAAGGCCCCTCCCAATTAAAGAAGAAAAACTTATTTGCAATGGGATTATACTATTTCACCATCTTCAACCAATAATGTCATGCTACCTGAAAGTATTATCATATATGTCATAGTATTATTGACAAGTTATAATGTCTTCCATTAAAGGGTCCTCTCTTTCATTGGTCCTACAAATATAGGCCTCATTTGGTTCATGAGAAAGGAGATTTGGGGATGGGAAATCAATTGCTTTCCCACGTTTGGTAGTCCATGCATAGGAAATCGTTGCTTGGCCCATGGAAAAGTAGGGGGGAAAGTGAAGCCATTCTCCCAACTTGAGTTTTGTTTTCCCTCATCATGGGAAAGTTTGGGAAAATTAGCCAACATTAAATACACATTTTACATGACCATTTTGTCCCCATTAACAATTTAGAATTACAATATATCATTAAATGCATTCTTTTTTTATTTGATTTAATATATGTATAATTGAAAATTTATACAAATTTTGTTTTCCATTACTATTCAAAACAAACATAGGAAAGGAAATAAAGTGGTATCTCCCGGTTACTTTCCCAGCATTATCAAACGTGAGAAAGGAATCTTTCATTTCCCATCCATTGGAAAATAATATGGGAAATGATTTCTCCTCAAATTTGTTCCGTGAACCAAACGGAGCCATAGGGTACTACGCTACTTCATACAACACTGAGCATCGATACAAGATATCTGGGTGAATTCGACAAATACCCTTCACTAATTGAGCGAAATATCTTCCGTATCTTTTGCCAAAACAAATAAATATATCAACTACATTAAGTGTTCATGTACTGCTACTAAAATAGTTAATTGTCAAAACCAAAATCGGTGGTGAGGCAACCAATGCAAATTGTGAATACTATAAACAAAAAGCCTCCGGTCGGTTGCACATGTAATGCTGAATTGTTTGAGGGCAGGAACAGTACTGCTGTTGCTTGCATGATTGAAACATTGCTTGGGCACTAGTTTCCATTTCTCCACAAATGGATTGATGCATGCTAAGTCCTGTTGGGCTCGTGAATTACAAAACTTTGTTGGAACCAAATGAACCCCCTTTATTGAACATATAAAGGACCAAGTTCATTTAATTTTGTGTAATAAGAAAGCTAGCTGAATGTCACATATTGGGTTGTTTGTTCCTATGTGTTGAAAGTCTACAGTACAATGGTTGTATTACATGGTGCAACAAACCAATAACGAAACGACGCGTGATCATTCTCCCTCCTTTACCTTTAGGCTAGAATATCATGTGTTAAATTACATTTGGTCAGCTATTCTTGAAATTGCTGAGTATGTTCCAATAGTAGAACACACCACCCCCACAATTATGATCAGAATGCATGTTGCAATCTGAAAATTAGAGCAGGAAATATTGTGAAAGAGGCATTATTAATATTGCAGAAACTTTCTGATAAATTAATTGCATTGAGTAATAATGACAATAATGGGTTGTGATTCTTACCTGCAGTTTAGTTAATCTACCTCTGTGTAGGACGAGATAGCACACACATGGAAAAACAACAGCCTGTCAAGCAATAATAGAAAAAAATAAATAAATAAAATAAGAAAAAGATTTCAATTCATTAATGAACTGCGTGCAATCTTGTGTATATATATCCTAAGAGCTTTAGTTGCAGAATAGAGCGAGCCGGTAGCTCGATCATGCATGCCGATCGACCGGCTCCCTCTATCCTGGAATTGAATGGGTTGATGAAGAAATTACTCACCACTAGCATTGCTACTAAGGATCCCATCAATGCCATCACAGAGCCTGCAGTCCAGTTGACAAAATGAACAGCTTAGTAGACGCCACACTTTATATCCAAAGAACTTTGCCTTGTCTTTTTATTTTAAGCAAATATGTTCTTTTATCATATGATGTGATATGTTATGTTGTTCGATTGTGAATCAAAAATTGTTCATTAGCTGAATTTTGTTAGTAGTTGATAGCCAGCAGAGTGAAAAACACGTCTTTTATTTTAAGAGTTTGAACTTCTCACACACATATGCTTACCAAAGAATGGAAAACTCATCGCCACGGCCAAAGTTGATGAAACTAGAAGTGTTCTAACGAAAATCGAAACACAGTGAGATCCCGTCCAAGCTTCGGGAAAGAGTTCCTCTACACTCAAAGCCACTGGTGTCATTGTCAAGGCATACTTTGTCATTGGGTTCACAATCTGCATAATCAAGAGACAAAAAAAAGAAAAAGAAGAGATAATCAATATATATATATGCCAATAAAAAAAGAAACTCTGGAAAAAAACAGAACCAATTTTCTTAAATCATACTGTTGTCCAGACTGCAATTTTGGAAGCAACAAACTGTGTGGGCATGTTTAGAGTGAACTGAGAATGGATGGAGTCTCCAAACATTAGAAAGCCGCATACTGCTACCCCAGTGTATATGAAAAAGCAAAATGTAACACTGCAGCAGAGGAACATGTCAAATACTTTGTCACATTTTTAAAACCAGGATTTTTATTTTATTTTAAATAAAGCCAATGTTGGTCACCTCACCTGGTTATTAGAACTGCTGAAAATTGTGATGGTTCTTTCATGGAGGTATAGATATTTGGGAAGACCGAATGGCCGGCGAAGCCAAAGCCATAGATACCAATTGTGACCGATATATCTGAAAGGTTTAAGGCTGTTCCTCTGTGATGAAATCCAACTTGGTTCACCACCCCAACCCACAGCAAGCAAAGGGCCACCAGGATTGATGCAACCACTCCTCCAACTGAAAACATTGGTTCAATTGTACAACTTTTCTAGAGCTTAGATGTTCAACATTGTGAAATTGAAAGCATAAAGATTTACATAGATTAAGATAAGTGATCAGAATATGAAACCTGAGAGGTAAGAGAGCAAACTAAGGTTTTGAAGCCATACAGTTGGAAGAATTACAAGAGTTGCTGTGATGCCAAAGATATGATGGCTATCAAGATGGATTCCACCAAGTGTCATTTGGGTGTTTGGGAACACTGATGCCAAGTTATCACTCATCATGGTCAAAAACTCCACACAAGCACCCTACATCACACAGGCATTGAACTTTTAATGTATATTGGAAAGAGGGAGGCATAGAGGAAACTAAGAGTTCTGTGCACTTACATATAGTTCTAGATACAATATTATCTGCATGACCCAAAACCCAAGTGTCAGTGTTGCTTCAAACATAGAAACATGCATGGCTGATATAATAATTTTGTGATGTGAATCCAAAAATTACAAGACTATGAATCTTGGACCATTGAATTCACAGACAACATAAGCATATATCAAAGTAAGTTAGCCTTACAGATAAGAAAAAACGACCGGTGGAGCCAAAAGCAGCCTGGCCAATATCCGGGTATGTTCGGAGCCCGGGACAGCTTTCTAAGCATCTCTTCAACAAAATTCCAGTATAGCAACAGATAACACCATATAAAGCAAGTAGTATGAGGCTCAACCACCCTCCTTCTTTTATTGCATATGGGGTTGTAAGAAGTCCTATCCCACATAGAACATTGGTTCCTGCATAATAAAATGATTAAATTCTCTGTTAGAAACTGCAGTGTGGAAGCTCATTCTCTGCCAGAAATCTACCATGAAAATTGATTGTTATTACCATTAAGTACAGCTTGGGGAAATGAACAGCAGCGTTCCTTGGGTGGGGGCAATTCCGGGAGGGAGCCTTTTGAGGCGTAGGAAGAGTAGATGGAGAATTTGGCAGCTTGGGAAGGTGAGGGAGGCACTTCTTTGTCCAAACTGGTTTGAGAATTGAGTAGCCTTGTGGTGCTTGAACCAGAATCAGATATTGAGTGCCGCTTGTCAAGTGTAGACAAAGAATTCAAACTCGCCGCCCCTAGGAACCCAAGGGAAGGAGGCGTCACACTTGTGTACATGTCAATCGATTGCCTGCATGCACATATTCAAGAGGAAATAGTCGACATATTAGGATACATTACAAGACATTTGATGTTGGCAACTTATTAATGTTGTTTCTTAGTTGCAAACACCCACTAGTGTAGTGGTTTTGAGCATTTGTTCCCTTCAGAAAAGGTCATGGGTTCGAGCCCTAACATCCGTGTAATGTGTATGAGTTTAGTATACTATTGTCCCTCTCCATAGAAAAGGTCCTCCGAAAAAAAAAAAAAGACGAAGTTGTTTCTTAGTCTTTTCAGTTACCAAATGATACACTGTATAAAGTAAATAGTGGTTCAATCACTAAGAATATATAATATCACATTTAGGCGTAAAAATTATCATGAAACCCCAATGAAGGAAAAACATGTTAGGGTATGGTGAATCTGGACAATTGTTTAGGTTAATTCTTGTTGAGGTATGTGGATTTTGAACTTAGAACTTCTTTTAATATTGCACCCAAAAAAAAAAAAAAAACCACTATACAAAAAGCTAGCTAATATATGTTAATTCTTGTTTGAATGCGTGATACATATTCACAGTTTAGCAATATAAAAATCTTATCTGCATCGACAAACCATGTTACAAGAAGAAAACAAATACTATACACACATATTTATATACGTATAATCTTGTAGCCTGTGAAGAATTTACCGATAGCTTTGAGGCCATGCATTAATATTAACATCAATGGAGTTTTGGGATAGATTTCTTGAGGGAGCTCTAACGATATCGGATTCGGTATCGGCTTCATATTGCTCACAAGACCTGTGTGCTTGGTTTTCTTCATCATCTGTGTGAAAGTTGTCGTCCCCACGATCGGGACCAAGATCCTCGTCGAACCTCATCCCACTCATCATCACTTTCGATCGTCCTTGATTAATACTAATCAAACCCAATTAGGCACGCATGCAAACACTTAATCTTGAGCTCCTAGCATTAAGCGAAAAAACAACCTAGGGCAAATGCAAAACAAAGACAGAGACAACAAGAAGATAGGCACTAACTGGTTCTGTCAGATTTGTATTTGGTTTCACCATCTGCTTGTGCATCCGAGGTTTTTGGAGATGACAGCGTGCATATTGCTGTACGTATGTGGCTGTGAGACCCTTCAAGGATCAAGACGTACACGTGTCAGTTGATTAGCAGGGCTGGTTCTTGCTGCTGGAAGATTTTGGGTGATGCGATCCGAACTTGAGGCTGTGTGTATACTATTACTAATGAAATTTGGTTTCTCATAGACTCCATATGGTTATATGACGACGAAATTGATTTGCTTGTGTAAAGAAAATAATTGATTGATAATTCTGGAAAGGAAATTGAAACAATTTTTGCAACATATTTATTATGGTCAAGGTCGTCCCTTTCCCTTACCAATTTAGCAACTTTCCTTAGACGAAGAAACATTCTACTTTGCAATTGCAGTTGACCTCTTTTATTCTATATAATATTCATTCACGCAATCGAAGTCCTCTGTTGAATTCTTCTACTTTTCAGTATCGTTTCTATAAGAAAAAAAAACTATATTCTAAGAAGAAATAGGTCTCAAAAAGAGAAAAGAAAATAGACAACGTATATGGCAAGTTGCTTTCATCATATGTCAATATTATCGATTCACTTATATTATAATACGTGTATATATTTTTAATGCTATACTCTAGGTCCATGACATATAAACATATTGTTCACCCATATTTAACATGTGAATTGGTAACCCTACGTGACGGTCCGACTGCCAAACCAAAAAATTTCCCAGATGAAGTAGATCCAGTTCAGTTGGTATGGGATCACATGGATGACAGTCGCAGCAATATTGACAAGCCAACTTTAAGTTAAAAGTCTTTAACAACAGTAGTGATAACTAAAGAAAAGGTTTATTCTTTTATGTGACAATGTTAAAAGGGAAACGCTGTTTATAAGCTTTGACAGCACCAGAGCGAGATCAAAGTTACAAAACAGAGAAAGAAAACGAGGGATCTATCTTTTGTCGATTTGGTTGAGCTTGCCAAGGCCATTGCACCGAGCACAGACAATCTGAGCCTCGTCCTTCCGTGCTGCATTAGCCCTCAAGGTCACCCCTGCCTTCCGAACGAAACCCGCTCCATCGCATTCGGGACACCTAAAACGAGCACAGCAAACACAACTCAAAAAAATTTTATGAAAAGAGAAGTCAATGAAATGAGAGAGCAGGGTAGTTAGTTAATTACAGGTCCTTGCGGGAGAAGATAATTGGGAAGGCAGTTCCAAGCAGAGCCACTGCAGCAGCTCCAGCTATCAGGTAGGGGGTGCCATCAGCTGATACATCTCCAATGGCAGCAACCACAGTCAATGCTCTCTTCTTCTCAATCCTAGACTTCCACAACAGAGATTTTGACCCTGCCTGTGTCGTCAAGAGAGAGGGGCTGCTGCGGCCGACCGCAACCGGTTGCATCAGTGGCTCTGCAGAAATGATAGTCAGAGGAGAAGACATTGATCCCATCTCTGTAGAAATCTAGTAATTTCAATTTTCTCAGCTTGGATGTGAAAAAGGGGGTTTTGGTTTGTGTTTTCTTCATTCTAAATGGATAGGTAGGGCCAATAAGAACCCAAGATTTTTGTGGGTTTAAAGATAAGGCTGGGTCCACGCCGACTTCACTTGTTTAATAGAGTGGGGGCAAGAAGGAGCTGGCTGAGACTAACTGGTGGCTTGAAGCAAACGAACGGTGGGGAACGGGTTGTGGGTAATGAGCGAGCTAAGCATGAAGTACCATATTCCAACAGGTTGGGCCGCGTGAAAAGTCCTAACCATGACTCAGAGAGCGAAAGACTTGCATTGCTGTGAATGAGCAACGAGGAGCGCGATGGCACAAGACTTCCATTGCGATGGCTCATCAACAGTTCACATGCAACAAAGGGTAGAATTTACTAGGAATAAAAGGACTTAATTGGCAATGAAGAAATATATACCATCACACAATGATCAAAGACCAGAACTTTTTGCAGTTTCTGAAGCATTTGGTCAGCTGCTTGAGCAGGCCGAAATTCGTTTTAAAAGAGATGATGCGTGTGCTTCCAGCAAATTCCTTTTTATTTCATGAAAATGTGCTTGGAATTATCAAATTAACAACCGCAAATTCATTGGTTAGCAGAAAAAGAAAATCAAACACCCCCATCTATGGCATTAAAACTCAATTCGCGTATGCAGAGTGGGAAGAGAACCTGTGGCAACATCAAAGAAGCAATAAAACAGAAATACCAAAGCAACATTGCATAAATTGACAGGAGCAAACTTAAACAAAATCATCCTTCCTGGCTTTTCATGAAATCATAGTGGTAAATAATGGTTTACTTTAGAAGAAACTGCAAATTCTGAGTGATGAAGATGGCCTAATTCCCAACTGGAACTTACTTCACAAGTTAGGAAATTAATCCCATGATCCAACTGAAATTGAGAGATTGGCATCCCAAATCAAATTTTGCTGAGAATAAATGCAGAACAACAACATCAAAGAAGAGAGCCAGTAATCACTTTGGATTAAAATGAGAACAATCAAAACAATCCTAAGTAAAACAATAGACAACCAAAAAGAACAAAAAACAGCCACCGGCTTCTAGGTCAATTCACTGTAACCCTGCAATTCTGCAACAAGCGAGGCCTTTTAAGTCCTAGCAGTAATACAAACAACAACAGAAAGCCTTGTACCACCTCTCCATTGCTAACTTTCCAATGCTGCCAAGCCACCACTTTAATCCCTTGGCTTTACTTCTCCTCCTCCTCCTCCTTCCAAATGTGCGAAAACTAATTCCCTAGTCTCTCTACCAAATTCAAAATTTCCATCTCTTCCACAGAGCCCCAATTGAGAGACTCTTCAATTCTCTGTCATGTATTGCTATTTACACCAAACAAACGATAAATGTACAAACTTTCCCTTCCTCAACAACAACATCAGCACAACGTAATCAAAATATCAGAACCCAATAACTATAAAACACTAAACCTCAATCAGTTATCTTCCAAAGGCCAACGCTGGCTTCTCCTCCTTGATGATCTACTAAACACATTACCAGACCCGCTTCTCGAGCTTCTGAGCCTCCCGAAAAAGGAGAAGAAATTGCGAAAAGCCTGAGCAAACCCACCAGTCTCCCTCGCTCTTCTTCGAGAAGCCCATGAAATCCTCCTAGGAGCACCAGCCGTATTGAACCCACCATCCATCTCAGTGTAAACAACTGGAAGCTCACGCTCAGCAGCTCTCCTGCCTCCGGTGAACCTGCCCACAGCGAATCCGCCCCCGGGCAATCTCCAGATAGTCAACCCCACCGTCTCTTCTTCTCCAACCATACCATTATTCTCCGGCGACGCTCTGCCACTGCCACGCGGCCCGCGCACGTCAGTAGGGAGTTGGTGGCGGCAAACCGGGCACGAGTTTCGAATCGAAAGCCATGGGAATATACAGTCGGAGTGGTAGATGTGCTTACAGGGCATCTCGCGAGCTTCCGAGTCGAGCTCGAACGCCTCTTTGCAAACAGCGCAGTGCGACTCGGTGGAGACGTGGTCGACGGCGATTTTGATGACGGGCATGGACTCGATGGCGGCTTTCGACGCCGGAGGGTGGTCGAGCCGTGCGACGCCGTTTTCCAATTGGGTCAATTGGTGGAGCAGCCGGTCGAAACCCGATCCCATTAAGAAGTCCGACATGGACGACGGCAGAGGGCGGAGGCCCAAACCGGCTCCGTCATCGTAGTAAAGCTCGAAGCTGCCCGGGTCGGATTCGGTGTCAGGTGGGCCTCGGAGGACAATAACCGGGTTGAACGGTGAGCGATCGCGGCTGCTTCTCTGGCTCCGGCGGAGATTAGGCGGGCTCGGGCTTTGCGAAATTGGAGTGTTATCGAGGAACATCGCGGCGGTGGGGAATGGGTGGTGGAGCGGAGATCGGGTCGGGGTCTGGATCTCTTCGATGAATCCGGCGCCGCAATCGGGGCAGAGGATCGAGTCTTGGGCCCGGATCCGAACCCGAATCGATCGGCTACATGTGTAGCACCAGTATGAGGCGGAGCCCAGGGAAGCCACTTCTATAATGAGGAGACTATGTGAGGAGGTTATTTGAGGAGGCTCATCTCACCATCAAAAGGGGTGTGGACCCCCCAATGCAACCCCCCCCCATGTCATTTGTTTTTAGTTGTTGATGGTGAGATTTCACTTCCTCAAATAACCTCATCACTCAACCTCCTCATTCTAGCCTTTCCGGTAAGGAGTGACCTATAATGGAAATATACTTAATTCTCACAAAGTCCAGTCCAGTGGGAGCAAATACAGGTCGTTTTCATTCAAATGCTTAACCAAGCCTTAATTGAAACTTGAATTGTTCCGGCACCAAGAAGATTGTTATAATGATTAAGAGTAGTTACCTCTAGGGGTGTTTGCGGTTCGGTAACCGCGACTTTTTGCCCAAACCGCAAACCGACCGACTATTTGCGGTATGGTGATTTTTGAAACCGCGAACCGACCGCGTTTTGCGGTTTACCGCATTGCGGTAAACTGCAAAAAGCGGTCGGTTACCGTGAATTAGCGGTTTAAAACCGCAAGTTTATGCGAAAAGACTTAAAATAGTTTTAGTCACTCAATTTTATACGAAATTTTAATTTGATCACTAAGAAATAAATTTAGGCAAATTATAACTCAAAGTTTTTGGTTAAGTAAATACGAAGAGTGGCGGCATTAAAGTATAGGTCACGGTATTCTCAAAATTTCTATTACAAGTGAACTACTCAATGAAAAAATAACGACCGACTATTTGCGGTATGGTGATTTTTGAAACCGCGAACCGACCGCGTTTTGCGGTTTACCGCATTGCGGTAAACTGCAAAAAGCGGTCGGTTACCGTGAATTTGCGGTAAACCGCAAAAAGCGGTCGGTTACCGTGAATTAGCGGTTTAAAACCGCAAGTTCTTTTTGTGTCATAAAAATCCAACTTCTCAAGCATCACAACCTAAAGAAAATTAAAGTTCAATTCCAAGCATTCCAATTAAAGTTAAACTTCTCAAGCATTCCAATTCCAAATTCTTTAAAGTTACAAACGAAAAGGAAAATACAATGCAAAATGAATTAAAGTTTACAACCCCAAAGAAAATCCAATTTAAAGTTAATTAAAGTTACAAACTAAAAGGAAAATGCAATGCACCAATATTGAGTTGAGTGAGCGTGGTGGAGGTTGAGTTGAGAGAGAAGAGACAGAACCTAGATTGGTAGAGAGAGAGAGGAGGAGATGAGTTCGATTTGGGTCTGTGAGAGAGAAGCCGATTTTCAGAGTTGAGAGAGAGAGAGAGAGAGACGAATGAGAATCAGAGAGTTGAGATGAGAGAGTGAGATCGCATAAGGAGAGAAGAGAGGCTTAGGTCTGATCGCATCTAACGGCTACGATTAATGGGTGTGAATACAAAATAAATATTGTATGAAATATACTTGTTTACGTACAATATATTGAATATAACTTATATTAGTCACAGAGCCAAAAGCCAAAATCCTTCATTATATAAGTATATTTATATTATATTCAATATAATATATTTTAGATAATATTATTTAAAATATATTTGCGGTTTGCGGTAACCGCAAGTTTTGAAAATCAAATACCGCAACCGCAACTGCAAATGCGGTTCGGTTTTAAATACCGCAAATGCGGTTCGGTTTACCGCGATTGCGGTAAATTATCGGTCGGTTTTTGCGGTTTTTCGGTAAAAAATGCCACCCCTATATTTTAACCTCAAAAAGCGAAAACCAAATCAATAAATGAAAAATGGAAAATGCGAAAAGACTTAAAATAGTTTTAGTCACTCAATTTTATACGAAATTTTAATTTGATCACTAAGAAATAAATTTAGGCAAATTATAACTCAAAGTTTTTGGTTAAGTAAATACGAAGAGTGGCGGCATTAAAGTATAGGTCACGGTATTCTCAAAATTTCTATCACAAGTGAACTACTCAATGAAAAAATAACGAAATTTCTATAAACCGTAAACGTTGAGTTGTATGCGTATTAATTAACTAAATTATATTCTCATTAATTAAATTACAATTTCGTATAAAATCTAATGACGAAAAAGAAATTTAGTCTTACAAAAATAATTGATACGCGGTATTCAACTGCACACGTACGAGTCACGACGGGCGGACAGACATAAACGCAATGTCGCCGTGGCCCATATTGACGTCTGGGTCTCCGCGAACGTTTTGAAAAGGCGTTTGACTGGCGTGGCAATTGGGCGACCAAAACGACATGTCGTGTCAGTTTTGTTTACATGTTACAGGCTACAGCTCACTGATGAAGGCTTTATGGAGTGAGGGGATGGACCCTACCTAGTGGCTAGTAGGACTAGCAACCACACACGAAAAGACAACATTTGATTATGGAAGACAGAATATTCCACGTTTGCACCACTATTGTATTATTTAATGGTTTCAATTTGCGGAGCCAAATCATTGGTCTAGTGAAGTGGCCATTGCCAAGTTGCCAACGCCATGCGAGGGAGCACGTTGTATTGTATTTACCAACTTCAACTCCGTCCATAAACGCAAAATTAGCAAACAGCGATGAATTTATTAAGCCTGAGGCAAATCTTGCTGACAGCCAACCAGTGAATTAGGTTTTAGAGGTCACTCTCCGCCACTAATTATCCTCCATCACCGATTGCTTTAGTGTACATTAAGTTTGATATACTTTGTTAGTTCATATTCTAACCACTTAGTGTTCAGACCTAAATTTCGCTGTCCTGTCTATACATGATTTATATCTGGATCAAATGTGAATCCAAGATTGATTTACATTCATAAATTATTCATGCATGCGTAAACAACTAACCGTAGTATAATTCGTGTTATTATAATTTCATTTGTTTGCCTCTCCAGCAACACGTTAGGCAAAGCGGAAACTTGATATGCATTACTAGCACCCCCACTGGTATGTAATGCAACATCTTAATAGTGCATTTGGATGAGGAAAATAAACTTGGGAGTTCAACAAAAGTTAGAATTTTTAAATTGACATGAATCAATTCCCGTGTTTGAACAAAAAAATATAGAAATATAGAAATTCTGCGTGGGAAAAAACATGGAATTTGGAGGTCATAAATCCCAACTTTAAATTCTACCTAAAAATTGTCATTTCTAAAATTTCAAGAGAGATTGAGTTTTTAAAAAAGATAACTTTACAAATAAAGCTCAAATTTCGTATTTTAAATCTGTTACCCAAACAAGAAACTTTACAAATTCTAGAACATTAATTTCCGTCATTTATGAATTCCTTTGTACTTTTAAATTTTCTCATCCAAACGCACTGTAAGTCTAAGGCTAGCAGTTGTTTAATATACACAATTGGTGACAAAAAAAAAGGAAAAAAAAAAAAAACAAATCCCATGATTCAACAGAATTGGGCCTTCCACCGAAGACTGAAAGACTAGTACACAAAATTTATTGGGCCTCTAAAAACCTCAGCCCAACCTAATCTAACTTGCTGGCCCATAGGCCGGGCAGCTCGGCGCCCTGCCGCCTGCGTGTCTTCCTTTTAGTTCTAGTGCATAAACTAGAGTTCCAGAACTATCAAGAGGTTTCGAGAACTTGAAGTCTGAGCGGTGTTGTATGTCGACTTATATTCCTATATAACTTTGCTGGTGCTTTAAACCGTTTCCTTTGTAATTTATTGTTTCTTCATCAATTAGCAGAGCAGAGAAAAAGGCAGAGTTTTTAGGGTTTTGGTTTTGTTTAAGACGAAGCAACAATGGCAAAAGACGGACCCAACTGGGATGGATTGCTCAAATGGAGCCTCGCTCACTCTGATGGCACTGGCCCCAATCGCAATTTGAGGTACTTTTCTCTCTGCGCCCCAAAAATCATACTAATTACGCAATTATTTGTAATCAATGTATAGAAATACTCAAAAGCATGTGTGTGAATGTTAGAGACCAAATTGATTGGTTTTTGGTTGTGTTTTTATAGCGAAGAGGATAGGAGATGGTTTATGGAAGCGATGCAATCGCAGAGTATTGACGTTGTGAAGCGCATGAAAGAGATAACACTTGTAATGCAAACTCCTGAGCAGGTTTTGGAAGCTCAAGGAGTTACTCCTGCTGATATTGAAGGTTTGTCTCCTTCTTTTATTTAATAAAATATGAAATTCAGCTCCAAGTCTTGTTTTTTTGTTTTGAATTTATAACATATAATTAATTTTGTCGGTACTTCTTTTGCGTCTGTGGCAGATTTGTTGGATGAGTTGCAAGAGCATGTTGAGTCTATTGACATGGCCAATGGTAAAATTTCTGACCCTTTTCTTTGAACTGGACTTTTGCTATCATCTTATTTGGTGTGTGTTCTTTTGCATATTGATATTTGGGTCTTGTGCAGAGTAACATTGGCTGTTAATTTGTCACAGATCTTCATTCCATTGGCGGTTTGGTCCCTCTTCTTGGTTACCTGAAGAATTCCCATTCTAATATCCGAGCAAAGGCTGCAGAAGTTGTGACCACTATTGTCCAGAACAACCCCAAGAGCCAACAATTGGTCATGGAAGCAAATGGCTTAGAATATCTGTTTTCTAATCTCACATCCGACCCTGATGTGACTGTTCGAACCAAAGCTCTCGGTGCAATTTCCTGTAAGTGCTGGTTTTAGTATTATGATGAACTATGTTTGCTGTTTAGTCATGTAAGTAAATGTGTTTTTCTAGTTATGCCCTGTCGTGAAAGGATATTGATGTAGCTTTTGCTTTCCAAATGAATGACCTTTTCAGCTTTAATCCGGCACAACAAACCTGGTAGCGTTGCATTTCGTCTAGCAAATGGTTATGCAGCCTTGAGAGATGCTTTATCTTCTGACAATGTGAGATTCCAGAGGTAATTGTGTGTTACAAGGATTTTGTTATATCTTCAGTTCACGGTTTGCTTTGGGCCATTTTGTTTATATGTTTTTTTGGGGAATTAAAACATATTAATGAAATTGAATAATTCATATATTTGGAAATCTTCACATGTTTATATGCCTTCATTTTTGCCTCATTTAGTGTCCCAATAATGAATTTCTTCTGAAAATTAACCATTTTTCAGGAAAGCCCTGAACTTGATTCAGTTCCTACTGCACGAGAATAGCTCTGATTGCAATGTAGTAAGTGAGCTAGGATTTCCACGCATAATGTTGCACCTTGCCTCTAGCGAAGATCTAGAAGTACGAGAAGCTGCACTCCGGGGCCTTCTTGAGCTTGCTCGAGACAAAGCTGATGGGTCCACTAGTGGTTTAGCTGATGAAGATGAGAAATTGAAGCAACTTCTTCAAGAGCGAATTAAAGGTATTAGTTCAATGTCTCCTGAAGATCTTGGGGCAGCTAAAGAGGAGAGGCAGCTGGTAGACTCCCTCTGGAATGCCTGCTACAATGAGCCATCTTCTCTTCGTGAGAATGGGCTTCTTGTGCTTCCAGGGGAAGATGCACCACCACCTGATGTTGCAAGCAAGGTTTTTGAACCTCGTCTTAGAGCTTTTGCTC